GGCCTGCGCACGAGCCGGTCCTGAGCTGACTCGGGGTCACATCGGGTTTTCTGGGGGCGTCTCCCCAGCTCACCGCCTCCGCAGGGCCTCAGGGTGGCGTCCAGTGCTGCGTCTGTGTCCAGCTGTCCCCACCCTTTCAGTCTCCAAGTGCGAGGCTGCAGGACCCCCGCCTCCCGCCAGGGGGCGCCGCGCAGCCCCCCCCCCCCCAAGCCGGCGCCCCGCTGGCCCCTCCCCCGCTTCTCTGCCGGTGCTGGTTTCCCAGGCTACGGCCGCCGCCTTCCGCTTGGGCATTACAGCCTGGCTGCAGCAAAATAGCGGCAGCCTGAGCCCCCCACTTCCCAGGGCGCCCCACCCGCGACGCGCCCTCGGCCCTGACGCCTGCGCTCTGGTGCCCCCGGAGACGCAAACCGCCTCCCGTTTGCATTCGTCTGAGGCGCAGAGAAGCCACAGAGCTGGCGCGGGCTCAGCGCCCCTGACACCTGCCTGCTCCCCGCCGGTGGAAGCGGAGCCCGCTGCGCCGCCCGAGGACGCGGGCCGGGCGGGCAGCGCGCAGCGTGTGGGCCGGGCTGCGGGCGGAGGCGGCCTTTCCTGGGCCGCGGGTGCTGCCCGCCCGGCGCTTCCACCCAGCTGGCCGCCGCGGCTGCCTCACTTGTGTCCCCCGGTGTCCAGACGCATGTCCAGGGCTGCGTGTCCTGCCTGTCCCCAGCCCGGGCGGCTGGCGTCGGTCTGGTCTGGGGAATCGGAAAACCGCCCCAGGCGCGTTTGTGTGGGAGCTGCGCCGGCGCCCCAGCTCTGGAGCGGGCGCTTTTACCGCATTTTGGTAAAATAAAAACCCTGTTTTCTTTGCCTGCTTTGACCCTGTGCCCAGTGAGTGTCCAGCTCTCTGATGGCCGTCTGTGCTGGCAGACATGGGCGTTCCGGCTGTTGGCCGGGGGTGCGCCTGTCCGGGCCCCCCGCGGCCGCCCGGCTCTTTCTCAGACACATGCGCCAGCCTGTTTGCGTTGGGGCCTGGACGGTCCGTGTCCGCCCGGTGCCGGGCTGTCCCTCGTCGTCGTCTACGGGAACTTGCCCTCTGCCGTGTCTGGGGCTGAAGTTTCTGCGGCTGCTGACCAAGCCGCCTCCCACCGGGCGCCTGCGGCCGGACAAGACCTGGGCGTGACCTGCGGTGCCCGGCTGGGCGCCTCTGCCGCCTCCCACGGGCCGGGGCCGCACCCCCGGGCCCTCGCTGCCCTTCCCGGCCAGGGCTGAGTTCGCCAAGAGCCCTGCGGGCTGCAGCTGCGTGAACCACTCCGCTGGCCAGCTCTGCTCCCTGCCGGGCTCACGTCTGCCGCGACGGCACCGGGCGCCTGGCCGGCTGCAGTTGTCCCTGCCGAGCGGGGGCTGGCCGTGCTCAAGCGAGCGCCCCCACTGGCCTCCCTGGAGTGCTCCTGCCTGGGGGCCCCCTCCCCCTGCCCTTCCCATGGGTGGTGACAGCGGTCACCGATCTGGCTGGGGCTGGGCTGACCGCTTGAGTCCTTGGTGTCCAGTCAGCGCCGCGACTCTGACGCCGCCCGCCGCTGCTCTCCCCACCCCACTGCGGCGGGCAGGGAGCGTGGGCATCCCACGCCCTGGTCAGGTGGGGCGGAGGCGTGGGCTGGGCGGGGCGCAGCCGCGGGCCCCCACTGGAAACCAGGGCCCACGCCTTCCTCGCAGGGCTTTGTGGGTGCCGCAGCGCTGCCCTGCTCGGTGGTGGCAGCAGTGACTGTTTATTTCTGCAGCTGTTTAGTGAGAAAATAAGCGGTGTGGAAGGAACGAAGCTGGACGACGAGTTTCTGGACATGGAAAGGGTAAGAGAAGCCAGGCAGGCCCCAGGCTGGGGTGGGGTCCAGCCTGGAGGCGGGTGGCCCTGGCTCCCTCTGGTGGACAAAAGTCAGAAAGCGCCGCAGGGGCCAGTCCCCGTGGACAGTTGCTGCTGCAAGGACAAGGCCACCGTCTGTGGCCGGGTCCTGGAGAATCGAAGACTTTGTCCATTTCCTGCTCAGCTGGGGGCTGGGAGGCGGCAGGACGGGGCCACCAGCCCCTGCCCGCCCCTGTTTCCTTGTCTTGGGCCCTTTAGAGGGCTGAGCGCCGCCCCCTCCTTGGGGACGAGGGGACAGCTTGGCACCTGCCCTGGGGGTGGAGCCCAGCCAGTGCCCCAGGGCCGCGGGGGAGCCAGGAGCAGCGGCTGGGGAGGCGCTGTGGGGTCCCTGTCTCTGGGGCCCCTGGGCCTGCACACGCTGACCTGCGGGGCTGTCCGCTCACTGGCCGAGAGCCAGCGGGTTTCTGGAAAGGCCAGCGCACTGGAGTAGGGGCTCCCTTTGTTCCGCTCGCTGAGCAGTGAGACACAGTCGCGCCGCCACCTGGCTCCGGGGCCCCCAGGTGGACTCAGGAGGTGCCACGACTTTGTCACTAGGGACGATGCAGCTGAAACGCTGGGCTTTAAGGCACATTTCAGGGGTGACCCAAGACCCCTTTGGTCGCTTCCTTCCCTGCCAAGCCCCGGTGAGGAACCAAAGAAATAAAGACAAACTCTATTGTTTAGCTGCCCCGGTGAAAGCAAGTGGACGTGTGAGCAGAGCCGGACAGGCTCTCTGCAAGGGGTAGGGTGGCCGCCAGCCGGCTGTCCACCGCGGGCAGCCAGGGCACAGTCCCGGCAGCGGGCCGCGTGACCACAGCGGCACAGCGCAGGGTCTGGCGGGCAGAAGCCGCTGCGCGGAGAAGCGTGGCTGTGGGCAGGAGTGGGCGGCAGGGCGCCCCCGGAGCCTTGACCGTAAGTGGACACCTGCCCCTCACGCTGAGCGTCCTCGTCCTTTCCAAATCCGCCACCACAACAGCCGCTTGCCCAGGTGAGCTGCAGGTACCCGTCCGCGCCCCCGTCACAGGGAGCCGGTCAGGGCCACCGCGGCGGCCACCGCGAAGCGTGGTCTGTTTCTTAGCCTAAGGAGGAGCGGCGCGCAGATGAGAAGGTTGTTTGGTCACGAGCGACAGTGGGACCGTAAACGCACTTCACAGAAAACAAAGGACGGAGGGAAACGAGCCCATCGTCCGAGCCAGAGGCCGGGCCGAGGCAGGCCGGGGCCCGCGGCCCCG